CATTTATGTTGCATTCACCAAACATTTTTTCCTCGACTTAGACGCCGGAAATCACTCCTCTGGTGGCCTTTTTACATGAACGTGAGTTAGAGGCTCGCCGTAAAGAAGAAGAGACCGGTCGACATGCGAAACCTTATAAACCGCATAGTGCAAGCGGCGCACGAAAACTGTCAAGAGTGGAGAAAATACAACAACGAGGTGCACAAGCAGTCTCTCGTCGTGGCAAAGAATCCAAACGGGGCACATCCGCGTCTTATGCGAATCGAGAGTTCGGTTTTTACGGAAAAGCGGATGAAGAGAATTGTGCATCCTCCGGACCCGCCTCAGAAAAGTCACAACGGGACTCAATGGGCAATAGAGCGTCACACTCGACCGCATTAGACGAGGACGAGTTCCCAAGTATGCAAGGCTCGCGTAAGTCCGATTATTTGACTTGGGAAATTGCAACCAATCTCACGAGCAGATGAAAACACATTTCACATTGTTACACTGCATTTCCTTCGTGTTTGAAAATCATCCTAAATCCTTCTCTTTATCTTTTATCCGTGGGACGCTTAGTCCCGTCGGTAATTTTTTTCCTGATAAACACAAAGATGCATCACAGATTACAGGTAGTACTGTTACCCGGTCATATATCGCGATTTGCAAAGAGGCCCACAGTTGATTGATTTACTCCACTCCCTCTTCGATTGCTCACGGTCTAGCAACGATGGAACACTGAACCACAGCGGCACCGATGGGCCTTTGATTGGGATTGTTACGTGGGCAACCGATCCGTTTTTCATCATATTTTTTGTTGTTGATGGTGAACACTGATACTAACCGGGACAGCAATGCCAACAAAAGCCGTCCCTGTGATTCACCACTCGATTAGTTTTTCATCATATAGAACTCGTTGAATCGTGACTTTCCAACCGAATTGACTGATTTGAACAAGTTGAAATATTCAGTCATACAATATCAAACGAAGACAGGTAACGCATTGTATGATGTGCTATGATTGGAGGAGGTAACGTGATTCCGGGACCAAAGATGAAACATGTCAGACCAAGATGGATCGTGTCGATGTCGCAGTGTCATCATCATCGTACAGCGAAATAAAGTGAGACGAACTTCACTGATCGCTGCCAAACTCGCAATGCATACAAGATTAGTGGTAAAATTTAAGGTGGACAGGGTTTGGACCTATTCTTCANGTAAGAAGGTGAACCTCTACGGTCAGCACACAGAGAGTGCACAATCGAACTCTGCGTTTCAAGCATTCTGACCGGATAAGAAACGACAATAAGAACGCTACTGCTGTCGGTTCGCTGGCATATCCTTCAGTGTCTCCAACCAACCAGTTGTGGAGTCTTTCGGACCCCAACCTAGAAGGCGAGAGACACCTACTCTACCTTTGAGAATTTCTTCGTCCCTGGTCTCCACGTCATCTGTTGACTTCAACGTAGTTTTCTCCAGCCCGGATTAGCTGCACCGAATAAGTCGCGGTGCGGCAGACGATGGCTGGGCATACGCAATACGTGCCCTAGCCAGCGAAGCCTACTAATCCGAATTCGGTGTGCTAGCCGGTTTATCCCTGATAAACTCTCAAACACACGACGACTTACCTCCAGATTACTAATCCATTCGCTCCATCCCACATGAGATAAACTAGGTAAACACCGATAATCGAAACTTCTAGTGGACAGATATCTTGTACTCGCTGATTCAAGGTCCCACAACCATAATGCAGAACTGAACGAACTCTATCACAATATACACGACCTTTCAACTTCAGTGAAATGTCGTGACTATGCCAAAAGTGTTTCAGTCCTGCGTATGCTGCTCGAGCCTTGGAAATGCCGGCGGCTATCTATTTTGCTGCGCTACCATCATTGATCACGCAACTACCTAAGAGGAAAAGTAATCCACCGTAACTAATTCCTGGTCATTTAGCTTCAGAGGGGGAGTAGGCAACATCCAGCCCTGCAGCATCACTTTGCACTTTGAAGGTGCAAAGTACATACCGAATGTGGCAACTGCACTTGTTAGTCTATCAAGTGCACTTGATAGATGTCGTGATGTGTGGAACAACCTTGCGTAGTGTTGTTTATATTTATATTTTCACACACATCTGAATCCAAACTGTGTGCCAAGTAAAACATGGTACAATAATCTTCAAAAAAATAAAATACGTTCCATAATTTGCATGTAGGCGGAATACTGTCAGGAGGCATGTGAAGTTTCTTGAGAAATCCACAACAGGAGCCTTTGGCTAACCAAAGCCTGACCCACAATGCAGCGCGGCGGTGTGTGAAAACCGCAGTCCATTGGGGGTCGGTGTCCAGTTAACCGGGTCATTCACCCTTTGGACAGCGTCAAACGTCCAAGGTGCCCAATCGAGCCAGTGACCACTGCTACAACCGGGAAGGTGTGTGTGGTTTTTATGCCTCCTTTTTGGTTTAGAATCAGGGTTTTCGGTCGACTCCCCTAGGTGAACTACCAGTGGTCCACCAACCCGGTTGTAGAGCCGGATGTCGACNGACTATTCGTCCTCTCACCTTGGTGGCAAAACACCCCCGCCACGGGAAGGCAGAGAGTGGGGCTTCCTCAGCAGAAGCTATTTTAGACGCTTGGTCGTATGGGAGCTTTTCGCGAGGTTCAAGGGAAAGTTGACCGGCCGCGTCCCTAGACACCCACCTCCGATTATCAAGTCTCCGCTTGAAAGGTTCAAAAGTGGGTTCACAAAAGGTCGAAGAGGATCACGAGGGTGAATTTGATTCGGTGATGAGTGATTTTGTTATGCGGGTTGATAAGCCTTTACGATTGAGGTTTGAGGAGTGCTATCGATTTTTGGTGGAATCATGACTACTTTGGCCCCGGGGGCCGCATTGTTAGTTCCATTTTAACGCAGCTGCTCGTATTCATTCTCAAACAAGATCGTGTAGTGATTTTGTTATCGATTAAATTATATTTAAAAAAATTTATATGTCACCACATTGGTGGATGCTTAATGCACACTCCCCAAAAGCTGTAAAACGTGTAACCAAGGTAGTTATAGTTAATGGAGTATTTCACAGGGTAATGCGCCATGTCATTTTCCCTGTATTATTTANAGTTCGACAAACAGCGTTAGACGTTCAGGTCACTGTTTTCTTTTTGAGTCATATCTATCCGCGTCCATAACGAACAGCAATCGTCAGCTCTTAAGCCTCATCCTTCATTACTGACAGCACCCACCGGAGCCGGTTACGGAGCTAACTTCTTCAGATCCCAAAAGCCAATTCGTGGTCTAGGCGCCGCGTCGTTTCTTTCAGCCTTCACAACACGTGCAACGAGAACACGAATATCGACCGGTATGCACGTAACAGCCCAACCATCGGAGACGATGTCGAGTGATTTATTTTTTTCAGAAATCGGCAAACTGCATCCAACACGTCACGATAAACTTCTTCATTACTCAATCAATGTCCCCACCAGACACCATCAATGCTTCCAAGACATCGGTGGTTGAATACGGAAAGTCGATTAGCATCATCATCGCGGGTAGTCCAAATCTCAACGGTCAGCCAATGAATGCTTTTTGTCGGTCATTACAAAAATGTCCATTTATGGATTAAAACGGGGTTATGTTTGTAACACATCCTGGTATTGTTGATCAGGACTGACCGTCGTTTATTCCTCATCCTCATAAGCAATTTTCAATTAGTCCAGCCAGCCATACATTGGATTTACTGCAGCTGGCTCCTTGGAAAAGGTAAGTTGGCTCCATACATGATCATGATCATGAAGTTCCATGGGAATTTGGCATGAGAGACTTCCCAAGCGTCACTCGGCGTTTCTTATTTTGAGGACGCATCTCTAACCTTTGCACAACCCAGTGTGAACTGCAAGACAGCAGGAGGTAAACTATCGCCTCGGAAGTGAGGGGGTCAAATTAGTGCAATGAAATTCTAAATTTTCTCATCGATCCTACTTTCAACCTTTTCCTGTCCTTCTCCTTATGTTCATCCAAATGGGCATCCAAAAGATAGCAACCAAAACCGGAGCACGATAGTGCACGGCTAATGGTTGTACAAACTGAAACTGAGGGGGTCAATGACTTGAGTTTTAAAAGGCCAGTTACATCGACCTTTGTCACGAAACCGTCATTGGGCTTATGCGGCTTTTAAACAGGCGCCTGCTGACCAGCCTGAAACTCACCACACCCTGTGTGTTTGCGACTACTTATTTGTTGCGGTATGCCACAACTTATTCACAGCTAACCTTCTTCGATGAAGGTATCCCCCTATCCACAACCCGGGGACGCGCTCTGCGTAACTCGAGGGTATCCAGGTATCGATACACTGGGAAGGTAGTAGACTTGAGTTTCGCTCATCGGAAATGCATATTTATCCAACAACCCATCCGGGATTTGAGCTTCGGACCCCTCGTATCGTGATTGTATTCTCTCACTGTGCCAATCAGCGCATACAAAGGCTGACGAGGATTACAAATTGAAGCTTGTCCAAATGATGTCTTCAGTGCCAATCAGCCAGATCATTGAGTTCGATAGCAACGAGGTGGAATACAGTTGGCTCCATGCTCATTTCATTCGATAGCCTTCCACTAAATTTTAAAGTTTCGATAGTCAGGTGTCAATTTCAAAGAAGCGCCTGTTTTTTTGTCTCATTGTTTTCTTTATTTCCCAACATGCAGTGTTTAAACTTGTGCTGTATTTGGTGTATGCTTTTTTGCTGTTTTTATTTCTCTCACATAACACACAAAAGAACCTTCCACAGTTCAGCAGCCTATGGGACCTTGGTCTGATCGAGTGTCCGCCTGGGGCTCGACATCCGGCGGATCAGGAAAAGATCGGTCAAAAACTGAGCACTCTACGACAACTGGTGGTAGTTCTTCCAAGCCAGCATCGAGCAGTCCACATGCGTCGAAACCATCAACACCGACCACAATTATGGACTCGTCCTCTGGTGAACCGGAATCGGAGCGAGAAACCAAAAATATCACCAATAAGCCGATTGTTTCCAAAGAGGGGAAAAAACATCCTCATCATCATCATCCAACAAATCGAGGACATTCAGACACTGTCCATTCCCCATCCACTCAGGCTGGCGATCATGGATCGTCGGACTACGGTGCTTCTCAGCCGGTTCGTGATTCTGTTGGCTATCGTGGTCGACGTGCCGGATTCTATGGATCCAGGGCCTCGTCCGGTTATGTGTCTGCTCCACGCAGACCAGGCAAACCGAGTCACCGAGGTCGTCGTGATTCCGACAGCAGTCTGCACGGATATGCCGGCGATGTTGCAGACTCACCTCGGGATACAAGTGCAGAGAGGGGACCAGCCCATGTTAGACCTCAATCCGTTCGAGCACGCCGTGGAAGTGGTGCCGCGGGAGTTGGTGGGTCGAACGCGTCCGGGGGAAGTACTCGTGGGGCTCATAATAATGATGGCGACGCATCCTACCACCGTGGTTCACATCGGTACGTTTTTTTACTTGATTTATTAATATAATTTGTCTTGGGCGGCGGCAATGGTGGTGTAACTGATGTGTTTTGGCTTAAAACCCCGTAACCACTATTACCACCCACGTTTCGTGATATTCAGCTTCACTGTCCAGCTTAGTTCCATGCTCATCCTTTTGGGGCCTTCTGTGGTCCCAGGACTTGAATATTCTGTTATCACAGGTGAA